CCCCAAAACCCCAAAACCCCAAAACCCCAAAACCCCAAAACCCCAAAACCCCATTTTATTTCATTTTTAAATAAATCAATTATTTGAATAATGGATGTTGATGGAGGAGGTTATCTTGTAGACAATGTTCCTCAGGCAAATAAGCCTGAGTCACACTTAATCTTCGGCAAGGACCCTAATAAAGTACTAATAAGTCAAGCTAGAAGGCAGTTTCAGCCTCCTGGACAGCTTGATTCAATAACTGGTAAAAATGATGCCAGGACAATGACTATGACTCACTTTTTGCTTGGTAATGATAGGGGAGATGGTGTCACAACTATGAATGCAGATTATCAACCTCCTGGAGCCGCTTTTACCCCAGCAGCATTGGATGTCAATACAAAGGCAGATTTAAGAAAATCGCATTTTACTCTTGGAAATGAGAACGGAAGAATGATGGGCAGAGAAGCAAAAGGAGTCCCATTTGTTCCAGGACAAGGCTCAAGACTTAATGAAAGAGAAGAGCGTAAAAATAAAATGAGGAAGCATAACTTTGTTTTTGGTAAAGAAGATAATACATTTGTATCAACTAATAATGCTAGTTATAAGCCTTATGAAGGAACTGCAGGTATGAATAATTCTAGCAAGATTGGAGATGATATTGGCAAGACTCATTACAGACTTGGTGGTCAGAGTGCTCCCATGAAGACTACACACCAGAGAGAGTTCATTCCCAAGTCAGGAGAACCTAATGGAGGCATTAAAGACACAAAGACTTTTCAACGAACAAATTTTCAATTCGGAAATGATAGAGGGAATATGGTATCGAGTTCTCACATGCATTATAAAAACTATCCGCATGGAGAATCTGGGAAGCTTAATCGCCAACAGTTAAATGAGTTGAGGAAAGAACATTTTATTCTTGGGAAGCACCCAAATCATTTTCGAACAGAAAATCAAATAAAATATGGAGACAATGGTATGAATACGGTAGCTCCTGTTGGAAACAGGCAGATGACTACGACCTCTTCTGTTAAGATAGGTGATCCAAAACTTGCTGGAACCTACTTCAGGACTACATATGAGCAAGCAAACCAAGAAAGGCCACTTGGAAATAATATTATGAAGAAAGATGGTATCTCAATGCAAGGCTCTCATTTCCAAATTGGTGATCCGAATTGACGTGTTGCTAAAAGTGTATCCCAAGCGACTTATAGGCCCTTGCCTCCTCCAGATCGTATGGGAGACAAAGATGCTGAATTAAAAATCAGGAGTAATCATTTTGACCTTGGAGGAAATTCTTTGCCAGGACAATACAAGTCAGTATCAAAGGCAGCATTTGATTTCAAAGGAAATGCTAATGATATCAGAAGTAAACTTGATGAAAATAGGAAGAAAGACCTCACAGCTTCTCATTTCAAGGTTGGTGGTGATAGTGTAGCAATGAAAAGCACCATGCAGGCATCTTATAGAGACCTTGGTCCTTCTCAAGCTGCTTTTAATGATGATAAGAAGACAGATCTAAGAAATTCACACTTCGTACTTGGAGATCCAGCCACAGCTGATTATAAAACCAACCATGAGATCCAGTTCCGTCCTCATGCTTTTAAATAGAGTTGATTTAGATCTTTATCAGCTAAAGAAAAGCTTCAATAAAATAATTTTAAATTGGGGTTTTGGGGTTTTGGGGTTTTGGGGTTTTGGGGTTTTGGGGTTTTGGGG